ATTCTCCAGCATCTGCAGTTCCTACTATCTCAGAAATATAATTGCCTTTCCTTCAGTGTCATTGGGTCAAAATCCTGGAATTCTCTCCCTAAGGGCATTATGGGTCAACCTACACAGGGTGTGGACTGCAGTGGTTCAAGAAGACAGCTCACCAAAATCTTTGTGCATAGTTAGGAATGAACAAAGAAATACTGCTGAGCCAGTAACACCCACATCCAGAGATTAATTTTAAAAGTCACCCCCATTTCAACAAAAGTATCCATACCCCGCCAACCTCTTGAACCCAGCATCTCAGTGTATTTTTCCACTCCACCTGACTCCCAGCTCTGAGCGTAACAATTACTTGGGCTTCCTCAGCTTTGGAAATTGCCCATAATCCCAGTAGCACTGCGGGCACTACAAGCTGCTACCTAATACAATCTCCTCCAGGAGAAGTCTTGCCTTAAAGCAACAAACCATTGAATTCACCATAAAATTGCTGCTCGGCAGCCATTTGGGATATTGGGCACACCACACCTTGTCCTCCCCAACATCTCTATCTAATTTTTAGCCAGGATTTGGGGCTGGGCTGGTGTGTGGGGAACCCATAATTGTGTCCCGTACAGGACACAGTCTACCACTACTTGCAAATCAATTCAGAAAAACAGAGCATTTAATACAGCCTAAAAAAAGTTAAGGTTTGGCTAAAATAACTTCTTTTAAAAAAGAAAAAATGGAGGGTAACCTATGAAAACATTTCTTAATGGGGATGTTGAGCTCAATTGAATAAGTCACCCACAAGAACAGAAAGCTGAGATTGCACATACACTGGTTCAGTTTCTGTTGGCAGCTGGGGAAGATGGTGCAGTTAAGGCTAGAGACTTTACATAGACAGTGAGCCTGTAAAATAGTTGCTTATTTTAAGTCCATGTATGACAGCAAAGGCGGAAATGTTATATGTTGAAACATATTGGAATTTTAATTTAATATTTGACAAGATAATTACCTAACACTGCAGAAGATGTTTTTAATAATTCCAAACCATATAGTTTCAAACATGATTTTGTTGATATTCTATGATTGGCTTGTATTAATTTACAATTTCTCCACTTTTAGATAAAGTTAAAACATAGCTTTTCCAACAAGAGTTTAAGGGTCAACAAAATTTTCTTTATAAGAAAAAAAAAACTTACATTTCCACCATTAAGAACAACTGCCATTTCAGTGGGTTGGTAGACATTACTGCGAAGTTGAATATTTGGTCTATGACCCAGACTGCCATTGCGAAATCCTGATTTAAAAGCTGTGGTGGGGTAAAATAAAAGACAAAAATTTGCATAGTAGTATAAAACCAAAATGATACAACTAAACCTCAAACTCCAAAATCCAATATTTTATTCCATTACTTCAGTGCATGACCTAGCTAAAAAGAAATCCCAGTAATCAAGAGAAACCAATGTATGACGTCTTACAACATTTGAATGCAGTAAACACTTCTAGTTAATATGCCTGTGCAGCCTTTCCAGCAGCCAGTATTTTTCTAGAAACATTCAGTAATATCAAAGAACCAAAAACAAATACAGCACAGGAACAGGCCCTTCAGCCCTCCAAGGCTGTGCTGACATATTTTGCCTTTCCATACTAAAACAGTCTTCATTTACTGGATCCACATCTTTCTATTCCCTGCCTATTCATGTATTCGTCCAGGTATTTCTTGAAAGCTGCTATTGTGTCTGCTTCCACCATCACATTGCAGGCACTCACTACCCTTTGAGAGAAAAGCTTGTCTCGCACATTTCTTGCAAACTCCTCCACTACCCTCACCGCGCCCCCCCCACCCCCCCCCCCCCGAACCCCCCCACCCCCGAACCTGTGTCCCCTAGTAATTGACCCCTCCACCCTGGAAAAATGCCTCATACTTTCCACTCTATCCATGCCATTCACAAAGTATAAACATCTATCAGGTCACCCCTCAATGTCCTGCATTCTGGTGAAAACAAACCCAGTCTAGCCAACCATTCTTCATAGCTAAGAAACCCCATATCAAGCAACATCCTAGTATACCTTTTCTCTACCCTCAAAGCATCCACATCCTTCTGGTAGCCAGAGATGGTGGTGGCCAGAACTGTACACAATATTCCAAGAGTGGCCTCACTAAAGTTCTTTAAGCTGCAGCATAACTTGTCTAACCTCATATTCAATGCCCCTTCCAATGAAGGCAAGCATGCCATTGGCCTTTTAAAAAAATACTACCTCATCTACCTGCACTGCCACCTTCAGTGATCTGTGGACCTGCACATCCAGATCCCTCTGCATATCAATACTCAGGGTTCTGCCATTCATTGTATAATTTCCATCTGTATGTGACCTTCCAAAATGCATCACCTCATATCTGTCCCTCTGTTATTTTTCTGCCCATACCTCCAACTGATCTATATCCTCTGACAATCCTCCTCACTATCCACAACTCCTTCAATCTTTGTATCATCTGCAAACTTATTAGACCAGCTACATTTTCCTCCAAATCATCATACAGACCATGAACAGCAGAGGTCCCAGAACTGATCTCTATGGGACACCAATAGTCATAATCCTCATTCCAAAAAACAACCTTCCACCACTACCCTCTGTCTCCTATGACAGAGACAGTTCTGTATCCATCTTGCCAGTTTACCCCGATACCATGTGACACCACCTTTTGTACCAGTCTGCCATGAGGGACCTTGTCAAAAGCTTTACTGGAGTCCATGTAGACAACATCAACTGCTTTTCCTTCAATCATCTTTGTCACCTCCTCAAAAGACTTGATCAATTAGTGAAGCACAATCTCCCTCACACAAAACCATGCTGTTTATTGTTCATAAGACCATTTGTTTCTAAATGCGTATGGATCTTGTCTCAGAATCTTTTCCAATAAATTTCCCTTCCACCAACATGAGGCTCACAGGTCTGTAATTTCCAGGTTTATCTCTGTTACCCTTCTTAAACAATGGGTCAACATTGGTTATTCTCCAGTCCTCTGGGACCTCACCTATGAGCAAAGAGAATACAAAGATGTTTGTCAATGCTCCAGCAATTTGTTCTTTTGCCTCCCTTAATATTCTGGGATAGATCCCATCAGGACCCAGAGATCTATCTACCCTAATACTTTTGAAGATGCACAACACCTCTTCCTTTTTAATAGCAACTTGGCTTAGAAATTCAACACGACCTTCCCTGATATCATCCTCCACCAATTCCTTCTCTTTGGTGAATACTGACATAAATTATTTGTTTAGGGCCTCACCTAAATCTGGCTCCATACACAGATTCCCTCCTTTGTCCTCGAGTGGACCAACCTTTTCCCTGGCTACCCTTTTGCTTTCTACAAGAAACTTTGAGATTCTCCTTAATCCTGTTTGCTAATGACTTTTTATGACCCCTTATAATTCCTTACTGAAGTTCGTTCCTACTTATATGCTTCAAGGGCTTTGTCAGTTCCCATGCTCCTAGATCTTATGTATGCTTCCCTTTTCTTTTTGACAATGGTCATAACATCCCTGGTCATCCAACGTTCATGTAACTTGCCCATTCCTATCCTTCATTCTCACTGCAACGTGCCATTCCTGAACTCCTATCAACTGCCATTTTAAATATTCCCATGTGTCCAATGTGGATTTACTTTCAAACAGCCACCTCCAGTCAACACTCTCCAGTTGCTACCTGATATTGTTGTAGTTCACCTTCCCCCAGTTGGACACCTTCACCTGAGGACTGCTGTTATCCCAATCCACGAGTATCTTAAAACTCACTGTATTATGATAACACCTCCCAAAATAATCCCCCACTGAAACTTCACTCACCTGGCTGCACTCATTACCCAAAACCAAGTCCAGTATAACCCCTTCCCTGGTCAGACTGTTTATGTATTGTAAAGAATGCCTCCTGAATGGTCCTTACAACTTCTGTCCCATCCAAGAGGATTAGATAGAGTGGACAGTGGGAGCCTTTTTCCTCGGATGGTGATGGCTAGCACGAGGGGACATAGCTTTAAATTGAGGGGTGATAGATATAGGACAGATGTCAGAGGTAGGTTCTTTACTCAGAGTAGCAAGGGCGTGGAATGCCCTGCCTGCAAAAATAGTAGACTCGCCAACTTTAAGGGCATTTAAATGGTCATTGGATAAACATATGGATGATAATGGAATAGTTTAGGTTAGATGGGCTTCAGATTGGTTTCACAGGTCGGCGCAACATCGAGGGCCGAAGGGCCTGTACTGCACTGTAATGTTCTATGTTCAATATTCTAAGCCCCTAGCATGCAGCCAGTCCTAGTCAATACATTGGAAGTTTAAATAAAAATCACCCACTAGGGCAACCCTGTTTTTACATCTTTCCAAAATCTGCCTACATATTCTCTACCCCCCCCCACTGGCTGTTGGGAAGCCTGTAGTGTACCCAACATTGTCATTTCACCCTTCCTATCCCTGACTTCTACCCATATTACCGAGCTGCACCAGTCCTCTATGAATCCTCCCACGGTATAGTTGAGAGGGACTCCAATATCTCGCAGTAAAAATGGAATGAATTAACTCGTGGGCAGGACTATTGATCTCCCATTTTCTACGTGTTACCCGGGAAATCATGCATTTCTTTTTGGCTAGAGGAAAGAAAGGCAACAATAAATGGAAACTCGATGTTTCTCAGTGAGGCAAACTTTGCCAAAAGTGCCAAACAAGGAAAGGTTTTTCTTTACCTGCCCCAGATTCATCCAAAGAGAAAGCCTTATTTTCCATGTAACTGCGCGGAAGTTGTAATTCTTCTTCAAAGTTCGTCTCCCGAATTCTTGGCTGAACGGCATCGAAGTAATCAGGAGGGGTTTGTTTGTTTGGGACGATGGTGCAATGGAGCTCGGGGATAGCGTGAAACAGTAGGAACACCCAGCCGTTAGAAACCAGCGCGATGGAGAGGGATGGGTCATCCCAAAGGGGCTGCTTCTTCAGTTCCCTGTTGCCATACAGATACATGACAATCCATGCCACCCAGATCAGGATGGACAAGCACATGGTCACAAGCACACAGGCTCCGTTCTTCTTCCACTTGTTGTGCTTTCCACACAAGCTCAAGGTGGAGAGCAACAGAGTAACAGCCATCAGGAACATTACGTAAATCGATGCCATGACAAAGTCCATCTGCTCATATTGACAAGCAGACTGATGGTTTCGGACTATAGTCAGAATTAACCACTCCACTGCAATGATCACCTGCACCAGCATCAGGCAGACTGCAATGCCAGTCAGCAACCAGCCTGATGGCCCTTTGCCATGGGAACCCAACTGGCGCAGTCTCCAAGCCTGAGCCAACAAACAGGAAAAGCACAGGGCAAATAAAACTCCCCATAAAAACCTCCGGGTCGGGCACGTTCTCTCATCCTCGGGGATAATAAATGCAAACGATAGTCCAAACAGGCCGAGGGTGCCAAACAAGAACAGGAACTGGATTCCCAGGGGACTCCTCTTTTCTTTATCTTTAATAAATGGCAGCTTCACCAACAGAATGAGCATCAGTAAGAATGCAGTCAGTACGCCAGCTCCGGCCACTGCCTCCACAACGATCCCCCAGATAACATCCAGGCTGCACAGGTTCACGTAGTGAGCCAGGAGTTTTAATCCGCAGCCTTGGTGCGGAACCGGGTTCGTCGTGTTCTGAGAGGAGCCGTAATTAATCACCGAGAGAAGGACCAACGATGCAGCTGGAAGCGGTTTCATGGTTCCCACGGAGAAGCTGCAATGGGGAAGGAATGAAACAGGTAAACGTTAGCTCCAGGTATGGCTGCATTGTACGGCCAAGCAGCGACTGGGAGTGTTTTGCTGCTTTGGAAGCTTCGCTGTGAAAAGATTAATGTTTGAATTAGACAGCGCTGCAACTTCTTTAGTTATTTAAACAGATTCACACAAACAGCTCTCACCCTCGTTCAACTCATTTTTAAAATCAACCCGTTCAGAGACGTTATTACAAACCTGGGGAGCAGGTGGGACATGAACCCGGGCCTCCTGGCTCAGAGGTAGGGACACTAGCACTGCACAGCAGCCCTCCGTTCATTTCATAGGAATGCAATTAATTCAACAATTACACTGATAACAGTGCACCAGCGGAGATTAATCATTTTTAAATTTTCTAGTGGCATCTGATAACAGCCAACGTTAAAAAAAACAAAAGGAATCTGAGCAAAAGGAGAATGCTTCCCCACCCAAATTCGAGGCAGGAATTTACCGAAAATACGGGACCTGGATCTTACCTGCACGATATCTCACAGACAAGGGAATGTCCTCTCTGCTACTTCCAAGTGATCAAAAAAGTGTTCTAAATGAGGGAGACTTAGTTTTGATGCTGGGGTCTGATAGATCAGTAAGGTAAAGCAGACAGAAATCTACCTAGACACCCACTCACAGAGCTCACCTTATGTTCTACTTAATACAGCAACCTCCGTTACCACGTGAGAACCTGTCACCCAACATTTTCCAACTGAACCTTTCCAGGCTCAAAGGGGAACAAAGAGCTCCTCCGCATTCAGAACTAGGTTTCATATCTCCAGGTTCAAACCTCAGCAGGAAAAGTACTTCTCTCAACATCTCACAGAACAAACAGCAACCAGAATCAGAAGCGAAACTCCTAGACGCGCCCTTTTAAAACACAAAAAAAAATCCCTGGTGGGTCATTGGTGACGCTGGCCAGCGTTTATCTATCAAAGTAATTCTTTACAAACAAGCAGGTTAATCAGAAGTAGAAAGGTTACAATTTAAACCAATACAAAGTGATTACCAAATTATACTTACATTTAAAAATACACGGAGAATAAAAATCGAACTTTTAATAAAACGGCTATTTAGTTGCAAATTGTTTCAGACTTGTAACGCTTTCATGTGCAAAATAGTTATAGTTTAAAAATCTATTACAGTGTAAGCATGGACATGGTGGGGCTGTGAGCCGCGGAGACCAGGTGACGTTTTAGCCCATCTTTAGCAAAATGAAACACGGTGGAAAAAAACACGGGATCTGAGGAGTGGGCAGACTTACACAGAAACTGCTCCGGCTTATGCCGCCTGCTATTCTTGGAAAGACTGTGTGCGTCAGTTTGAAGACGGTGCAGAACTATATTAACATAGCAGGACGTGACAGCCAGACAGCTACAAGAAATTATTTCAATGGAGATGATGTTCAAGAGATTTAACGTTTGAAAACAATCGTGCCTGCCCTAGAACCAGCTTAAATAAAGACGGGGTTTGTTTTTGAAAATACGGTGACTACAAAAGCCCCGTCAGCAAAATAACACACCGAAGCTGGAAATCTATAATTAGCATCGCATAAACGCGTTCCCAAGATGACTAATTCAAGCATAAACACTCCATGAAATTTCTAACATTCCGGGTTTGTTTATTCACTCATGGGATGTGGGTATTTCTGCCTGGGTCAGCATTTACTGCCCATCCCTAGTTGCCCCTTGAGAAGGTGATGGTGAGCTGCCTTTTTGAACCACTGTAGTCCTCTGGCTGTAGGTTGACCCCCAATGCCATTAGGGAGGGAATTCCAGGATTTTGACCCAGCAACAGTGAAGGAATGGCAATATATTTCCAAGTCAGGATGGTGAGTGACTTGGAGGGGAATTTGCAGGGGGTGGAGTTCCCATATATCTGCTGCTCTTGTCCTTCTAGATGGAAGTGGTCTAGTGGGTTTGGAAGGTGCTGTCTGAGGATCGTTGGTGAATTTCTGCAGTGCATCTTGTAGATAGTACACACTGCCGCTACTGAGCATCGGTGGCGGAGGGAGTGGATGCTTGTGGATATGGTGCCAATCAAGCGGCTGCTTTGGCCTGGATGGTGTCAAGCTTCTGGAGTGTTGTTGGGGCTGCACCCATCCAGGCAAGTGGGGAGTATTCCATCACACTCCTGACTTGTGCCTTTTAGATGGTGGCCAAGCTTTGGGGAGGCAGGAGGTAAGTTACTATCTGTAGTATTTCTTGCCTCTGACTTGCACTTGTAGCCACCATATTTATATGGTAAATCTAGTTGAGTTTCTGGTCAATAATAACATCCAGGATGTTGGTAGTGGGGAATTCAGTGATGGTGATGCCATTAAAGTGTCAAGGGGCAATGGTTAGATTTTCTCACATGTTGGAAATGATCATTGCCTGGCAATGCTGTGGTGTTATTGTTACTTAGTAGTTTTCAGCTCAAATTTATTAAAAGAAATACTTTTCTAAATGTTTATAACGGAAATAGGATAATGCAACACTTGAAACTGATTACTGTGACCTGGACACTTCACCCACAGGTAACTAGGTGGCAACACAAATCGGTGCATGCACACACCAAAAATTTACCTGTTGTACTGGAACATTATTTTATCCAGCCTTTGGCCAATTCGACTTCAGTTTTATTTCCCCAGCCAACAACAGAATGCAATTTTTCAATGCACTACAAATCTATATGTCCAAGGCATGGTATCCAATTTTCAAAACCTATATTTAGGTATGCTTTGAATTTTTACAGCTTTTTAAATAAAAACTGGCAAAACACAATAAAAAGGTCTAACCTAGAACTGAAGATATACTGAGAGCCTTTAGAAGATGAAAATGTAACATTTTGCTGCTGTGAAAAATACACAAAGTTTTTAAACCCGTTATCTTGGCATTAATGAGGGTGGCATGGAGTGTCACAGCAACTAACTGACTGACTAAAGTTACAAAGATTTAAAAAGATGTTTTAAAAAAAGTAAAGCTGGTCTTCAGTTTAATATAGCTGGGACACAAAAGAATGATTCATTTGTATGTCTTGGGAATTTTGACTGTAAAAGGAGATTTGAAATTTAAATATTAAGCTTGGAACCTATTTCCCAAGGAGGGTGTGAGATTAGAGGACTGTCTAAAATTAGTGCCAGACAGGTGTAAAATTTGGAACAATTCTCCACACAGAATGTTAGAAGTTTGAAAGTGTCTTCCACAAATAGTCACTGATTCTAGATTTAAAAATATAACCAATTGATCAGAGATTGACAGATTGGTGTCTGTAGGAATAAGGGACATGTGGCAAGTTGAAGATATGAAGTTAGGTCACAGATCAGCCATGATGACATCGAATGATAGAACAGGTTTATGAGGCTAATTGGGTCTTTTTCCTTCCAAAAATTGATTTGTGGGCCATTGGTACCACTGTTTGGAGCAGCATTTATTACCCAATCCTAGTTGCCCTGGGGAAGGTGGCAGTGAACTACCTTCTTGAGCCATTGCAGTCTATGTCTATTCTTTTCCCTGCAGATATCTGGCTTCATAACGACTGGAGACATAGGTACAAGAATAACGGCAGTTGATTTATCTGTGAACTTCTATTAGCTACTAGAGAACAGATACAACTGCACATTTAAAAAAAAGGGACAGCATCACCCAATTCTTCTCCAAAGTCACACACTATCCTAATTTGGACATAAATTGAAGAAACAACAATGTTGCTGGGTGAAATACTGGAACAGCACCCCGGCACCACCCCGTCCCCCATTTCCCCCCCCTCCCCACCCCTGTCCCTCGCTCCCCCACCCCAGGCCCTTAATGTCACTTACTTTGGCTCAGTGTCAATTGTATTCAATTCTGTAACTAAAGCACTAAGGGACACTTTTAACAGAATTGAAGAAATAAAATGCAAACTGTCAATATCTCGTACAGATATGAAATGTAGTAGCACATTCCGATGAATGCAGTACTCTGTGTCTTTACCAAACTCTATCAGCCAAAAGGTTATGTGCTATTTGTACTGTTTGTGGGTCTATTTGTGCAAGCAAGCTGCAAAGTTCTGCAAAAGCAAGTCATTTAATGTCTGTGATAGTAGGAACTGCTGATGCTGGAGAATCTGAGATAACAAGGTGTAGAGCTGGATGAGCACAGCAGGCCA